CTACTACTACTACTACTACTACTACTACTACTACTACTACTACTACTACTACTACTCCAAAGCAATCCAAAACGCAATAATGATACCAGAGGTTTGTTACATGTTTGAATATCATTGAAAGCAGCTGAAGGAGGTGGAGAGGCCACCATTGTTGGTCCAGACTCAATGGAACCACGTGCCTCCGTGAAACCAGCACCGGTTTTCAACGGCTGGTGAAAGGAATGTCGTAGGACAATTACATCGCTGGGCCTATTTGGAATGATTTGTTTGATGGTTCTATAATCCTTGACAGTCATCAGAGTTTTGTCAGAGTTATTGTGGATATTTTTTCGGACGCTGTCGGACATGTCTATTTAGGGCTAGAGAGTTACAAGTCTTAAGCTACAAGTAACAGCCTTGAATTTGGAATTTGCCCAGCTCCCAAAATCGATGGATTCCTATTTTTGCTTTGGAACCATGATCATGATCACCCATCATTATCATCATCGTCGTCGTCATCATCATCGTCGTCCTCATCACCATCACCATCATCACCAGTCACTATCAAACGCACCCATCAAACGCACCTAACTTAACTTTTTCCATATACCTCCTCATAAATCACCACTCTCCGGCTCCGGCCGCGTTCGAGAGGCGATGAGTTCTCCGCCTACGACGCTGAGGGAGTGCCGACCCACGACAAGGAGGGCAATCCATTGCCGAAGAGCTCCATCAAGAAGTTGGCCAAGGACCTGGGTCCTAACCGGTCCGGAAATTGTCTGGTTGGCATGAGGATGTGCTTGGCTTTGTGGAGATAGGATGAGGCAACTGGGTGAATCCCGTGACATGGGGAATGTATTCGATGTGTTCTCGGTTCCTTAAGGATGATGATGTGTGCAAGTAAATCCTCAAAAAAGAAAAGAAGGATTTCAATTCTATCAGCAAGTAAGTTTCATGACAAACGAGGCCAATTTCATTTTAATCGAGGGATAGCTCTGCATGTTTGTGGTTGGGGCTTGTCACATGAAAACCCTTTGCAGCTGCGGAGCCTTGCTGTTTTTCGCTCTCAAGACCAGAGTGGTTTGGTCTCACACACACGTGTTCACACGTGTACCCCTAGAATGCTTGTGCAGCGGTTGCTGTAACCAGTAGTGGAAACTTCATTCACCAAACATTTTTCAGCTAGCTGTGTTTTGAAGGAGGCTTGAACATGTTTTACAACGCTGCTCAAGACCACATCCAAAATGAAGTCATGAAGATGAGCCGGTCTCAAATCAATCTCAGCACACCCTGCGCTTTCAGAGACTGGGCTTGCCGAAGATAGTATAATGGCTTGCCTCAGAGTAGCAACACAGCATTTCAGTTGCACCCGGACCCTCAATTGCGTTTTGGGAATTGGTGTTGCCATGTGCATCGAAGCTGCGTGGCATCAGCTCCTCAGCTGTTCATTGCAGGGCAGCCCAGCCAGTCAGATCTCTAACTGGTTGAAGAGAGAACAAAACAAGATGTAAGATGCCTCATGTTTAATCCGAGCTTCTTTTTCTGCCTTCAAGTAAGCTACGCGCCAATACCGACAAAGGATAGGACTGGCATCCAGGACCTGCCAAATGTTGTAAGCAGGTGGTTATCACATCCACATGCAAAATAGGAAGAAGTGTTCAGCCCAACTGCACAACTATGACATATTGTGATGCGTTTTGTTTTGGACCCTGAACACAGCCTCCAGTGGGAAAGCGCTTGCCAAGGATGACCACTTCAAATTGCCCACACCCGGTGTGTAGGCAAAGACTGCAGGGCCGTTTTGCTTCACCACAAAGAAATCATCTCCTTAGGTTCTTATCTCCTAATGGCTTCAAGAGACCTGTATGAGGCAATGTTTAGGAATTTGTTGCTTTTTGAGCTAGAACATGATAGCGCATCTATTATGTACACATTCCCTTCATTCAAGTCACCATCACCAGACTCCAGCTCCGGACGATCAACCTGATGACCATGGAGCTTGGTATCCACCAGCCCCTCTTCTTCTAGTTCATGGAGGAGGGCACGGATGCTGCAAGGATTCGAATCAGTGCACTGCTTGCTTGTCTCACTCTGAATCTCAAGCACGACCTTCGACAGGTCGTGCTTCCAAGCGGCTGGAATCGTGTGCGAAAGCGTGTCACCTGCACAACTAGTACTTTACTGTGCCAGGGCCAGCAGTCAAAATGCAAAACAGCTCGTCAATGAGAGTTGACATTGAGTGCCAAACAGCTCAAGCCTGTAAATTGAATCCTTTTCCATCCTTTTCCCTTCTCCCCAGAGATGGTCTAAGCTCTAAATGCTATGATCGGATACCAAGCCCCACTCCATCTTGCGCTTCAACTCTCTGCGCTGTGGCAGGGAATCCAAACCAGATTCGCATGATGCTCTGAGTGGGCATCGCTTGACAAACCCGAATTGCTCCACAGGCTCATCAAAAATCCTACTTCTTGCCCTTTTTGGCAGAAGACCTGTCCTGTCCAGGCTTCAATCGCCTCCGGCTCAGCTCCGAATTGCTCATGTTTTTCATGGCATTCAAGCGGGCAGGATGGTCCTCCCACCTTGTCACACTCAAAAGAAACTGCAATTTGATTGACCAGTGGGATTCCTTGATGGGAAAACAGCTCAATAACGTCAATGAGAGGTCACTAGTTGCCACCTGAATGCATCCAAAGCACGAAGCTCTGGCAAGCTTCAGGACCTCAGAAGCCTTCATGTCAGGATTCGCTTTCTTGATTTTCTTCTGCTCTTCATGGATCACCGCCCAGTAGATGGAACGAATGGATTCCCCACCAGACGCCTTGGAATCTGACTGGCCAGGATCCTGAATCTCCTCAGACTCAGCCTCCTCCTCCTCCTCCTCGTCCTCCTTCTTGTCCCAATGGCCAAGCTCCAACGTCGTTGACTCTTCAGAGTCCAGGGAATTCTCCTCCTCAGCCTGATCATCCAGCTGGTGGATCTGGTGATGAGGGGAATGGTATCCATATGGCCATATGGCCCATATGTTTCATTATGTTTCCATGTTACTGTTAACGAAGGGCCTGTGTTAAACCTCGCCCCATGATGTTAATTACAAGCATGTCATATTCCTTCACTTGAGACTTATGACATTGACATGTTTTCTGAGGCCTGAACCTCAGCATCGGCTGCCTTCTTGCCAGCGGCCATGGTCTCAGGGAGCACCATGCATGCCAACAGGGCGTCAGAATAATGACTAGAAAACAACGAGTCATGGTCTCCACATCTCAGAAAAAGTTCTTTGTATGTTTGTCACAGAGCAAAAACAAACCAGGCCTTAGCCTTCTTAGAGACACGTGCTTTTGCTTTTGGCTTTGGAGCAGCCCGCCCACGTTTCTTGTTTCCCGAGTCAGTTGGCTTAGTAGGCTCAGTAGAAGGCTCTCCTTTTCCTTTCTTTCCCTTACGACTCTTAGCAGCTTCCTCATCCCCATCCCCATTGCTTCCAGCTTTTGCCTTTGCCTTCGCCTTTCCCCTTGCCCTCGCCTTTGCCTTTGGTTCAGCCTCAGGCGAAGCAATCCTTTGCTTGATCGATTTTGCTAAGTTAGCTGCTGTTTTTTTCTCTTGGTTCACCTGTGACATGGCATCAGTGACCTTGGCCCTCAGCTCTTGTTTGACCTCCGGTTCCATTTTCTGATGGTTAGAACCCCCAGCTGAATTTAAGGTTCGCATAGGCAGCGCTGCTGCGGACGGAGGAGAGCCCTTCAGTCCAGTGGATGCACCATCTGGAGTGCGATTTTGAACCTGCAGCAGACTGCAAAAGTTAGGGTCCGATTGCTTGGTCAAGTGATCATGGAAAGATGAGATTCCATGTTACATTTACTCTTCAGTGAGTCATTTTCCAGATGTAACCCTAATTGAATTGCACGACCCTTTAATACCAAGTCTTGCTGCATCTTTTGAATGTCTGTCCATTAACAGAAGGAACAATGTCTTAAATATGGTGCTTTTGGTTTGTCCTAGACTTAGAAGTAAAGATGCCGGCAAAACACTCGGAAACAAGGAAACGATGGAAATGAGTGAAACATCTCTGGCAGGAGATTGGATTGACTGGAAGTCTTGAGGCGCGAGCGATCTGTCCCGGCGGGGTCTGGGTCGACCCTGGGCTGCTTGATAACATTTTCTCCAGGTCCTGGTTTGCTAGGGGAACAAAAAGAAGAACTGCCACCCAGCAAAACAAAGAATCCAGAATGTTTCTCACTGTTGTGCCTCTTTCAAACTCCAAAGAGACTTTGGCAACAGCAAGCGTGTTGAAATCAAACAGCGCCGATAAAATATCAAACAGCTATGTTTTGCTCCACGAAGCTGTCCTGCTGGAGACCATGTTTGGCCAAGATATCAGCTAGCGAAATGGTAGCATCAGCCATGTTGCTTTCTACCCAAACACCTACTACCTAAAAGCCTGGAACACCTGCAGCAAAGAGCGTCGAAATGTAGACATCAGAGTGGGAACATGTGAGCAACCGAGACTTGCAAAGCTCACATGTCAGCATGGTTCCACAAGAGTACCAGCAAGAACCAAGCCTCCACCCTCGCGCATGAGCTTCTGGTATTTCTCCCGGGACAGCCAGGAGGACTTGCCATGTGCAAGTTGGAACTCTCCACAGCCGAGCTCGAAGTCTTGGTGTGAGACCTCAGCTGATGAAGTTTATGTTATGTCTTGAAATGTTTTGTTTTAAAAGGGATATTTGTCCTCTAGTCTTTTGTTGTTTTTGTCCTCTAGTCTTTTGTTGCTTGCTTGTTTAGCTATTTTCTTTGCATCTTCACTTCATTGTTCCACTGTCTTTTAGTTGGCTGTGCGTTTGTTTGATTGGGCTACTTACTACGCTCAATTGATCAACAGATTGATTGATGGCTTGACCCATTGAGTGATAGGTTGATAGATGGATCAGTTGAAAGGTTGACAGATTTCAAGAGACTGATGGCTTCTGATTACTTAGTTTCTGACAGCTAGGTTGAGGCGGTAATGCTACCAAAACCATCAAATGACACACCTCCTTTAGCCTAGATACCAGCCAAAGCTTCATTTTCTGGTTCTCGAGCATTTCGACTGAGCTTCCATCCCGCCTTTTGGCCGAAGTAAGCATGAGCATGCATCCTGGTTCACGAGCTGGCACTTTGTTTTCCACCACATACTGCTCAAGCAACCCCTCCAGTGTGTCAGGTTCCAAGGAGAAGGGCTTGGGAGCTGCATCTTCCACAGGTGCAGCAGGGTGGTTGGAAGGGTCTGGACAGCTTCCAGAGCCCCCACAAAACCTAAGGGCACATCGGATACAAACCTAAATGCCCATTTGATACAAGTCAGCACGGGACCATGGATCACCAAATAGAATAAGGTCCAGTTGTTTTTTATGCCCCTGAAATTGGAAAATGTGTTTAAACACAATCCATGGCAGCTTCTTGTCGAAGTCTTGGATGAGGCTGCGCCATTGGGGAGCAAACAGCGGGTTCTCCAAGTGTAGGCCGCGAACTTCATTGGAAAGCTCAATGACATACTTCTTGATCCCTTTCGCTTTGTTGTTCAGAGAGAGCTTGGCAAGCTTCAAGGGGTAAGAGCTGAGGTCCACCTTGTCTACAGGAGGTGGTGTAGGGTCATAGGGCCTCACATTGCCCATCGTTTTGCCACCCCGCTTCCAATCCTGGCAGCATAGTCAAGAGCAAGCTAGATCTGAGGTTGATGGGTCTGACTGGGTTTGGGTCTGTTTGGCCTTTCCTTCTTTCAAACCAATGGAAAAGTATATATTCATAACCTTTCTTGGCCAGATCAATATGGAAGGGGCAGCCCGGTGTTCATTGTTAATATTTAATCTTGGAATTGGACTTAAGCTCAGGGCAAACTCCCTGGGCTGGGTGTGATACAACATGCTATAAAACATGCTCGAGAACATGTTGCAAATTTCTTACACAAGTGCGGGGTCCTCAAAGAGGAACATGGCGCATTCCCTCTCACAATGCTGGATCAGTGTTAGATCCGTACTCAATGAAAGGCTTCGGAAGGTGTGCATTTGCTTCTCAATGGAGCTCTTGATCATCGAAAGCTCCAAGTTCCCCTCATAAGGTGTGAGGTTGACAACCCCAATCAAAGAATGAGCTTCGCTGCCTTTCAGCAAGGATGCAATCACGGATTGAGGAAGTGCTTCTCCAGCGAGAAGTTGAGCAGTCTCTTGCACATCACTCAAAGACCTCCAGACTCCAGACATGATAGGACATGCCTCATCTCCGAAAACTATGCCAGGCCATTAGATTTGCTCCCTGCCACAAAACATTAAAGATCATTACCCATTGTAGAGTAAATCTACAACATCCGATTGTCAGTGGTCCCTTTGACATGTTTTGCAAAAGCCAGGCCTGACCCCTTCCGATGCATGTGGTACGGCGTCCCGGCCCGTTGGCACAACGTACATGTGCTCAGGGGTCCATGGCAGCAAGTCGCGTGGAGTCCTGAACAAGTGTTTGAAGCCTTGCTTCAGATTCAAAAACTTTTGGGCGCAATCATATTGCTATGAAAACCCTCTGTCATTAGACCAAAACATTGAGCAACCCAAGTACGAAGAAATCGTTTAGTGATATGTTTTAATGAGAATGATTGGTTTGGACTTTTACTCCACCCAGCCTCTCTGACATCAGTTGAGATGCTCTCCAAATGTTGGAGTCAAGACATCCATCAGCGAAGATCAGCCAAGCAGGGTAGCAAAGATGAACCTTCTTTGTGGCCGGGGCCACATCACACCGTAGCGTGATGCTTTCAGCATACAACTTCTTGGCATCCATTTTGTCTTCGATCCTCCTGACCACATCAGAAGGTATTCTTCCTATTATAGGTCCCTATTTTTCCAAAAGTCCCAGCCAGCCATGAAAACATAAAGCTTCAGGGGATAGTAAGAGGTTTGCTGTCAAACCTACCTGATAATAAAAAGAGTGAGACTGCTCCCATCATTCCAGTCCGAAGCTGTACGATCTTATTCTTTCAAAAGAAGATGGTATATTGTGTGTGTATGAGGGTGCACCTTTTTCTATAAACAACTTGAGTCTCCTCATTTCAGCCCGCAGCCCACTCCGACGATCTGATACAAGGTGCGGCGCGATTGCAAAGCAAACTCCGCGTTCTGGCATGGAGGCCAGAGCCTTGCGGACGCAATCCATCGTCACGTTGAGATCCTGGGTGGAAAGCCTACCAAGCTTCATGTAGTCCAGCCAAATGATCAACGACCCGTTGTCCGCTTTCAGCTTGGTGACAAACTGAGGGGCATGACTCTTGCAAGTAGCTTTCTTATTGCAAAGAGATTTAATTTGTGTTGGTTTGATTTGTGTGTGGAGGACATGTATCACCCAAAAGATTGGCGAAAAAGGGGTGAAAGAAAAACAGTCAGGGAGCAAGATGATTTCAAGAAGAAATTGACTGTTGTGACATTGCTGCCTGAAAGCTTAACACTTTTCTGACACCCACCCCTCCAACAAAATGGTCTTGCCTTCATGAGCTCTTCTTGAAGCTCAGTCGGAGTTCCTGCTCTGTGGTGGCAGTTATTGCTCATAAACTGTGCCGCCAAAGTGGAACCAATGTGATTCTCCTGTCGAAGATGGCACACCTTGGCTACTCGACTTGTTCGCTCCGATTTGGATTCCTCAGTATACAGCCGAGCCAACTGAGCAGCATCACGAGCCAGTGCCAAGGCATCTGCTTCAAATTGAAGCTTGAAGTTCTGCTTGGTTAAGCTGTCCAGGGTCTCATCCGCTTTCACCAGTTCGGACCCATCAGATGGAGCAGCAGCAGCAGGGAGATGGTCGGCCCACATCGAACACATCTCAGGGCTGAAGCCAGGATCCCTTCCCTCAAGCATTGGCTTGAGCTCTTCATGGAAATCCCTCAGGGATCAAGGAGTGAGTAACACGTTCAAAGCTCTCCCACCATTGTGAGATTTGCTAGCCTCTACTTTGAAAAATAAACAAGGTGGCCAAGAAGGTATGGATCCTCAAACATAGCAGAGCCTTGACAGCCAAAACAAGCAGTCAGGCAGGTTGATACTATTTTCAGCCAACACAGGATCCTTCAAAAAGTTTAAATGAGACCAGGCACCCCTCAATGAGGCGATTCATCACTAACTTGATGGTCTCCTCAGGGAACACAATCAAGTTGTCAGAGTTCTTGTGATGCTGCATTTGCTCCAGGACATACCCGGCCATGCAACAAATGTCGCACTCCAAGGCCCATTGTGACACAGGCATGTGCAGCACCTGAGCCTTGCCAGCTTTTTGCTTCGTCACTTCGAAGATGAACAGCACCCGCTGCATGAAGATATGCTGCTTCCCCTCATTCATTGTGAGCATCTCTGCAAAGATGCCCTCCACCTCTGGTCCTTTAGGCTTGCCATTCAAGAACCACCGCGGATGAAGAAGCGTTTCTCGATGAAAAGCTGCACAGGGGAAGGCCACATGACATACTGTAGTAAACCCAAAGAGGCATCATGAGAATAGAGCGCCAGAGTTCTAATGAAACCCTGGACATGGGAAGGTAGTTAACTTAGACGCAGGTGTGTTTGGCACAGTCAGTCCGATTCAAACCACTAGGCTTAGGGTTGCAATTATTTGACATTTGCTGGCCTGACTGGTCAAAGCGGTTCACATCCAAGTGCTGCCGGATCATCTTCCACACAGCATCACAAACGCCCACCTGGGGTTTAAACATGGTTTGGTGCGGTATCGGTATAGGTCGTTGATAAGGAAGAGAGTGTGGGTGCACTGAAGATTAAAATGTTCGAAGCTTTTTGGATTTAGTCCAATCACCTTGAAGCCGAACATGAGGTTGGCTTGGTTCTTTTCGATCCTCATCTTGGGGTTGGATGCTGCTAGCCCATAGCTGTTGTACTCCTGGATGGCCACATCCCATGCCTGTTGGTAGCTCGTTCCATTATCCTGCCAGGGGTGTGGGAAATAGGATGAAGGCTGTCTCAGACCAAGTTTTCTTGAAACTTAACAGTTAAAAGAAAACTTTTTTCGGGAAACCTTCTAAGGTGAAGGGAAGTGCAGGCAATCTGGAACACCCCAGTTCCTTCACGATTTGGTCTGTGCGACCATGGAAAGCCAAACACAGCTGCAGGATCGACTTCTTTTGGCGTTCTGCTTGCTGTTCACTTACTTGAATCCTCCTCCAGATGTAGTCAGAAGGATTGGCCTGCTTGATGTAGACAGCATTCACCAAGATGCTTGTTTCAACCCACCTGGGATCCACTGGAGGTTTGATTTAGAACCAGGACCAATGGTTGGAGAAAGGCCCCTGCAAATCCCAACCAACCAAGTCTCACTCAATCCCTCCATCTGACAAGTTCTTCAAGATAGTAACATTTTGGGGGAGCTTACCAGAAAGAAACTATCATCCCAAAGGCGACGATGGGGACCGGACCACAAAGGCGACGGTGGCGACCTCACCATCACCTATGGGCCTGATCTGAGCATAGTTGCGTCACCTTTGGCACTTCCAAGTTTCAACTTGGGTAAAGGCGACGATGGGTATGCCACCATCACCTTTCACATCTTGACCCCTTTACTCGTGATCCTTCAGTCTTAGGTAATTACTTTCTTTATTAGAAATGTATTGCAACCATCTAAGATCATCTCAGGGACCTACAGAATCAATTCATTTCATTATTCGTAAGAACCCAGGATCTAGCCAGTCTGATCAATGGAGCCCTGAACTCTTCAGCTAAGACTGATTATGTGAAAGGCGACGATGGCGACCCCACCATCACCTTTGGATTTTGGGGAACTTGGTTGGTCCAAAGGCGACCCAACTATACCCAACAACTATCTAAAGCCATACCAGGTCACTTTCGAAAGTCTTCGAGCTCTTCTGGCGTCAGCCCCTTCTGAAGACAGAGGTAGGTGTAGAAAAGGGAATACAAGAGAATAGAAGATCTCCCACATCCCTTCACAACTTCCAGGACTCCAAAGTCCATGGGCTGGCCCCCCCTGCTTGCGTCGACAGGTTTGAACTCTATGGTTTCGCGAAAGCGCTCATAGCCCAGGCCCCAGATTGAGTAGGCTGTCGACAGCCAGTCCCCGAGCATCGGCAATCCATCGGAAGGCAACTTTGGGGTGAATGCCAAAGTGGGGATCTCCATCACAGTCTTCACCTCCGCGTCCTGAACAGGGGCCGGATTATTCTCCCGGGATTGTTGGAGTGAAGGTTCAACATGTTTTGGAAACTTTGCCCACTTGTCCGGTATGGTGAGGCTTTGAGGATGCTGCACTGCTTTCCCCATGACACTGCAAAGCCACTCATGAAGAGGAGTAAAGAGCTCGGGCTTAGCATTCTTCAACAGCCACGCAACTGGGTGTTCATCCTTCGCTGGATCGAAATTCCTAAGCTTCACCAGGTGAGGTTCATCGGGTTGTACCCAAACAATCATTTGCAACAAATATCCCTCTTGCACAACTTCTGGATTCTACACATTATGTTTCACAAAGGGGTCTGATTGAGATTCCTGGTTGTAATCTTTCATAAGAGGGTCTGGGCAGTTAGCCACATCTTGCTGCTCCATGGGCCCAGCTGAAGGCCAACCCTTTGCGACTTGCCCGACGACGGCGGCGTAGCTTGGCTGCCACGCTTACCCATCGTAGACAGGTCGAGCGAAAACCCTCACTGTGGTCCAAAAACCTTGAAGAAACAGTTCACAAGCTGTGCGATGAGTGAAATGGTAGTTGATGGTGTGTGCAGTGTTCATCCATTCAAGACCCATCAATACCTTTTTTCTTCTTGGGTGCCTGTAAAGGTGGCATGCTGAACATAAGCCTTGAATTTGTAACAACAGCTATCGAATTTGAGAACTTCGATACCTTTACAATCTATCAGCTGAGTCCAAGGATTGTTGCAACCAGCACCGCACCGATGCATGGAACTGACATCGCATTACCGCTCATGCGGACAGATGCGGTGGTGCAGGCATTGTCGAGCTGGAGCATTGGCGCCATCGCTGCCTCACTTTGACTGGGAGTGACAGGCAGGACATGGGTCGCGAAGAGCTCCAGTGGTTGCATGACACGTCTTGAGGCCTCCCAGGGAACAACAAGTTGAGAACTGTTGGAAAGTTATTTGTTGGGCATGCAGCAATTCAAACTCTTGAAACATGATATGTTTCCCGCAGGTTGGGACCTTGCTAAACAGCTTGCCAGAGTTCGTAGTCAGTGTCATCAAAGATCGATCCTTGCACTCTGTCCTCCCCCTCCCGTTCCGGACAAGTTGGTTCAAGTCCGCAACTTGCCAACCCTTCTTTGAGAACATCTTGGGGTCGTCATAGTCATGCAGGTTGCTCTCCTGAGCTAAGACTGTAGGGCGGTGATAATTGAATGACTGGTTTTATACAAAGACAGGAAACATGACTAATTTATTTGAGAGTCCTGCTCCATGGTAAGCCTTGATGGGGCAAGGTTCATCCAGTAGAAATCTTGAGCCACCATGCTTGGCCTAGCTCGCAAAGCTCCCAAGACCTCTAGGAAGGGAAAGTCTGGTTTCCAAGGCCCCATGTAGGCCACATTCCAGATCACCCCATAGATCCGTGGACGAGCACATCCAAATCCGAAGATTCTGGGGTCAATCTTCACAATTCGACAATCCCACTCAACATTCCCAAAGTGTTGAGTCACATAGGCCTGCAAATTATACTCGGTCACGTTCTCAATGATATGTATGTCAGCTGATTCTGTTGCATCGCTGTAGTATTTCTCATGGACTTTGTGCTTGATATCCGCTTCCCCCTTTCTCAGGCCCATCAAAGAATATGGCTGGCAAGGTGGTCCTCATGGGATTGAGCCCAGCCGCGGAAGGGAGGAAGAGACTGGGATGGCGTTTGATGAACTTTCAAACAAACATTTTGTTGATTCATTGCCCAAATCCTGCCACCTTGATCCGCAAGCCTGAGATGGGGTGTTTGTTTGTGTTGCAGGGTCGTTTCTAGATGTTTGCTCAAGGAAGGTAAAGAGATCTATATCAGAAGGTATACCTGGGAATGATAATTAGGCAAGTAGCTGTTTTGGTCGACTGGCAACTGACAGCTGCACATTTTCAGGTGTTTTACACACCATAGTTCAGTATTCTCCGGGCTGAAGTCCATGATATTTTCGAAGACACAGGACGAATACGAACGACAAAGTACACGTTGGCATGAAGGTTCGTAATCACATGAGAAGTGAAGCTGGACACGTTTTCGAGATCTCCTGGGCAACTCCTTGCGGATCACTGACTCCAAGCTTAGCATGGCCTAGGCCCACCAATTGTTTTTCAGGCAGGTCAGATTCAATCTCTGAGTAATGGGCTGATTCTGCACACCCAACTCCAGAGAACATAGTTCCGAAGTGCCACAAAGGCCATCGCTTGAACTGAGCCACAACCTGTCGTTTGCCAAAGTGCTTATACAGTCGCTTCACAAAGGTCTCAGCCCAAGAAAATGTCTCTTTGATGTTTTTCGGTCCCAACGGGTCTGAATCTGTAGCCATGGGAAAGTCCGTTTTCTGAAAGCATCTCCTGGTGAATGGCTAGGAACCATGCAGAGGACTGAGATGGAGCATGAACTGAAAGTGACTTAACATAAAAACATTTGTCTCCTGGGAGTCTTCACTTTCTTGATTTCATTGGTCTTCTTCAGGAAGGGCTTGCGAACTGTCCTCTCACAGTAGATTCACTCGCTTGACACTTTCACTTTTTTTGAGCTCCTTGCAGGTGATGGCTGTGTGACCTTTCGCACAGCGTCGCGAAGACTGAGAGTGGGTTTCCTGCAGATGCATGTGCTGTCATGTGATATCACAACTTAAGTCAGTCAACAGTTTGTGGTTCCGACCCTATTTCCATTTCGTAATCAATGCAAGATTCTTCATCAGATACAAGGGCACTGCTGGCGTCAGCTGACCATCCACAAAAGGCTTCGAAGAGAGATTGAATCACAGTGTGTGGTTTACACAAAGGTACAATCAAATTGAACGAACCTTGCGCAAGAGCAGTGCAGCGAATGCTACAGTCTCCTTTTTGGCAAGCAAATTTGCAGCAGCGAGAGTGTTGATGAAATCCCAAACACAATCAGCTGACTGATCTTCGATCAAAAGGTCAGATCTAGTTGTCATCGAAAACGTTTGGCAATCCTACATCCTTTCCAGAATTCAATGCGCAAAGTTTTGCAACTCCATTTAGCATACTAGAAGACAAATCCATCAGCTTATGGACGGGGTTGCCAGTGTCTCGCTTCAAGATCTTATGAGCCTGCCAAAAGGGAATCATGATTTCCACGTTTCAGTTCAGATTCAGAAGCAGCATGCTCGAGAATGAACAAAAAGGATCGGGCCTCCAACAGCTTCTGGGTTGCCACGTAATTTATTTCTTCAGCCTGCTAGAGTCAAGAACTTGGAGGTGACTTGAACCAATGCGTTAGCTCAAAGGTTTCAGGCCTTCTTCATAGCCTGCTTGTGCTGTTCCTGCAGTATTCAAATCTACGTTTTGACTAGGGTACCATGCCTCAAAGAGTTTTTGTTTGAGACCAACCAGTGATCAATGTCAAGACAAATGCCGGTCCTTCTGGGCTGAGACCGGGGATATGTAGAAGGGATCCTGGCAGTTGTTGACAACTCCTTGCCCCTTCCCAAAACTGATGGTGTGCCTGAGAATCGGCTATGTCGCTCCACCAAACCACAGAAGCAGCAGCTTCAAGGTGGATGTCGTTGTCCTGTCGCAAGCTCCAGGTAAATTCAAACTGGTAACAGCAAAGAAGTGGTGTGAAGCTTCTTTGATATCCAGAATGTTCCAAAAAGTTTATAAACCTTGTCCAAGCCCTGGTGCAATGGAATAAACATACACTTATAGCACAAGCATCCAGTTTCTGAAAGTCCTTCGACTGAAAAAGCCTTCGTTTAGGATCTGGCGTAGTGTTCACGAGGCTGCACTGAACATCTGTCAAAGAACGCTTCAAGCTACCGGAAGTCCTTCCAAATGATGACTCAAGGCCCAACACAACAAGTGGTTTGAGGAACAGGTTCATAAGCTGCAGAAAAACAAGCACTCCTCTCCATCTCATCCATGGTCTTCAAAATAACTACAGACCCCAGCTTGAGGCGCTGCAAACAAACAGAACCGCAACAGCTTCCAATCATTTCATCAAAGAACGATTCCATCTGTCCATCTGTTGTTATGCGAATCTTAGCAATTAGATTGTTTTTTCCATCTCACCTGCGTCTTTGCATCCGAGCACTGAACTGCATTTGGGGAATCACCTTACCAATGAGCGATTGCCCTGGGTCTAAACTTACAAGGGCATCGAACTCACTGTCACACCTGACAGAAAGCCAGGGCAACGCAGGAACAGGCTCTGCAGGAGCATTTGGATTGCTCAAAGCAATCATATACTGAACTGTTCTCTGTGTGCTTGCATTATCTTCTGTTTGAAGAAGTAGCATCGCAAGCTGCAAGAATTTCTTTCTTCTGTCATTATCAAATGATTTCAAAGGCCTTGCGATGTGGGGAATGTCTCCCACCAGGCCCATGAACTCACATGGGAAGACCACTACTGGGTCCTGCAGGAGAGGTTTGGTTCAATATGATATGATCTTACTTGCTTGTGAAGCTGTTGAACAAGAATTCACAAACTCCTGGCTCAAAGCATGGTCCGCAAGGAAACGCTTCACGCAGCACACAACATCATTTGGTGACACAGCAAATCCATGTCGACCAGGGCCCTCTGTGACGATGTTCATGCTTCCAGGGATGTCTGGCAGCCAGAAGTAAAAGAGTAATACACTCACCTGCACTCCTACAATCAGTTCAATCTAGAATGAGCCTCTACGACGCATGAAGAGGAAGGCATGGGCTCCGCTGCTATCTTCTTTCATTCCTCCAGAATATGTCACCGGTGCACCTTCAAGCCTCAGAGAACAAACGCATGAACAAAATATTCATCAAATCAAGTGCAACCTGTTCCAGGCAAACTCAAACAGACAAGGAACCATGTTTTCCATGGTCTGGTAGTTCTGAGTTCCTCCACAAGCACCTCGGCATTTCCCAGCCAAGCCTTGATGTTGATCTTGTCACACAGGTAGCGCAGCTTCCTCAATGCCCATGCCCAACCAAATTGTTAGCGGCTGTTTGGTTTGGACATGGCTGTTAGTAGTTAGTCTCAAAACAGCTTCAAATTGCCCCAAGTGTCTCCTCTATGTCTGGTGGGTCAGCCAAACAATCGACCCACCTCATGGATCTGCTCAGGATCCCGTATATTTGATCTCGGTCAAAGGGACATATTAAAACGAAAAACTCCTGGTTCTGCAGCTCCCTTTCAACAATTAATGAATCTGAAGCAAACTAGCATTTCGTCAAGTTACCCAAGCTTCCGTGAGTATGCCCCACGCGATGGAATAATATTCCAGTGAGTTCCAATCCCTTCTGTAATAGCATCCACGCTAACAGTTTGAGGATCGTCTGGTTCTTGTTCTCGCGAACAGTATTGTCCGCCTCAATCTAAAAGTATATAGATATTCATTGACCAAAAGTGTAACAGTAACTCAGTAACAATATCTCACATTGAGCAACTCCAGTTTTGCCTAGCAGCAATCATCAGGATCTTGCGTGGCATCTTGTCCTGCAAGATGGTGTGGACATGCTCCAGGGTCTTGATGACAGACTCAGCCACTGTCGAGCCATCGCTCGGCAAACGAACATCTACCACGTGCAGGTGAAGACAGACTTGATGGCACCATACACCTTGAATTTTTACTCTTGGACGATCCAGTTTCTGCATGCTCTTCGAAAGAGTGCCATGCCGGAGTCTCGGTAGGCACCATTTGGATTGGTCCATTCCATCCTTATGTGAGCAAGGCAACACTTACTCCTGCCCAACCCGGAATGCAATCACATGCAACAAATTGCAAACTCATGATGCCTGAAACTTCAATCTCTTGCTGCTGGGAAGAATCAGTTGTTAGAAGCAATGTGTCACCATCCACCATAGGGTCAAGGGCCTGATCAAAAACTCTAGTGCAAGAAAATTGTCAGGTTTTGACTCCAATCACCAAACAGGCCTCGAGGTAGCTTTCAAGCTGCCTGTCTGCTGCCACAGCTCCAAGATGGTCACGATAGCCACGGGCTATTTCGTATTTGTCCACCGGATCCTCACAAATATAATTCTCAGTCTGTAAGCATCAATTAGAGCATCCATCAAGCTGAGATAGATATGAAAACAGTTAGTGAGTTATTGGTAAGAAAAGTGTCAGAATTCTCCTCAAAGGCTGTCTTGTAGCACGAGCAATCATCGCAAACAGCAAATCCAGTTGGATTTGAGAAGCGCAAAAGATTAGCCCACTTCGTCTGAAACCTTCGTACAAAATGATTGTACCTCAGGCTGTGTGCTGGTTGGACCAACCCTGGTTAGACCTGTGACCTGCAGTTCACCCAACAGCCTTGATTTGGGTTTTGATCTAAGCTACGAAACAGCGAGGTTGCTACCAGCATGGAGCAACTTCAGGTTCCCTGGTGGCAAGTAGCGTGTGGGCAGCTCGGAAGGGCAGCTGCCAAACGTGGTCTCCACAATCCTGAGAGCTAAGCTGTTCATAGAACAATTGCTTTGAGCAGCTGACCAACAAATCTTGCAGTCAGTTTTAAAAATGACATGGCTCTGACACCAGACCGCTTTGAAGCCTAAAATGTGCAGTTTCAGCTCCAAGTCTGAATCTATAGACTCTGCTGGCACCTCCCACTCATCTGCATCCTCCGCTCCCACCATGTTGTCCACATCAGTGTC